GTATATATATATGTGTGTGTGTGTGTGTGGAGTGTGTGTGTGTGTGTGTGTTGTTTGTGTTTATGTATGTGTCTGTGTTTGTGAGTGTGTGTATGTGCGTGTGCATGTTTGGGTTCGTGTTTGTGTGAGTTTGTATGTCATGACATGACATATGTTACATACCTTATGCGCAAATTTCAGAGACAGAACGGAGTCTTGGTGCAGTCGTAGATTGAAGTTCAAGTCGGGTTCTCCTGTTAAACTGAAAATTTCTATTTCGTGATTTTCAATGCCCACCGCGACGAAGGGAGCTTCGCCATAGACACCAATCGAGAACACGTGTGCCGGGAATCGGAAAGTTTCTAATTCTTTGTTGGTTCGCAGATCCCACACCTTGACCATTTTATCGAGCCCGCCCGTAACAAGTGTCGTGCCATCTGATGTGATATCTACACAAGAGACACCGTCCGTGTGTCCCTTGAGTGTGCCTACCAACGACCGGTTGTGGATATCCCACACATCCACAATACCATCTGACGAGCAACTGTAGCACAATGGATTGGGGGTTGTCTGAGGTGGACTCAGCGCAAGTGCATAGCACGCCAGCACGTGCGGTTCCAATCTCCCCGAAATCTGGGATTCAAGACGGCCCACAATCTGATTCGTTGGCAGGTCCCATATGCAGAGGTCACTTGTCTCACCTCCTACAATCAGGGTCCGATCGTCAGCTAACAGCTTGCATGACCTTATATAGTTATCTGAGAGACAGTTTAGTTCAGTGATTGGAGTCTGGGAATTATTGACATCCCAAACGGTCACCGAACCCTTGCCACCTGCATATACCCTGTCACTCGAATTCGAGATTGTAATAGCTGTGACCAAGTCTTTGTGCTTGAGTGTGGATATAAGATTGGCACCTCTGGGAATTCCAGGTGTGTAGATATCCTTGTATCGTGGGAATAAAAAGGAATTCAGCGAGCCATCTGTAGCCCTGCGGCAACTGTACTGGTTCAGTGGTACTTGGTTGGGGTCTAATGATTCTTGCGCTGGGAAGTGCTGGGTATCGGGCCTGCCTCCTCTGCTGTATACCTCTGGGGGCATTGCATCGCCATTCTTGACCGACATGGTGCCTGGTGGACCAATATTACCTTGCTGCATACTCTTCGCCCCCGGGGACTTCCGCTGACTGTGATGGTGGCTCTTTGGTTGTAATAATTGAGGCTGGGGGGACGCCGGGTTGCCCCCGACATTGGTCCCCTGACTGAACCCATTGTATGGTACTCCCTGTTCTTTCGGATAGTCACCGTTCGGTATAATTCCATCAGCAGGCTGCAGTTGCTGCCCTGCAGGGCCGCGTGATGAGCGAGAACCCTCCCGAGACATGAAGCCACCTCCCACATCTCCCCTGGACTTGTGCGACAACGTAGGCGAAGATGGATGTCCCGGGTTTGCGGCCACGTGTGGCGATTTCAAGTGCCTCGAACTCGACCCCGGCCCACTCACGCCCTTCCCGCCCACTGCAATGTTTTGCATGTGCTTAGGTTTAATGTTTACCGGTGGCCCGACCATGCCCATACCATGACCCGGTCCGTCTTGCCCATACATTGGGTGGTGGCTGGGATAGAAGTCTCCAGCATTGTCACTCGACTCGGGCACCATGCCCCTGCCAGCGACGGGGATAGGCGCGCTCCCTTCCATACGCTGGCCAGGGTTTGGAGGTATTCTATCCATGGGCCCCGAACGCGACATTGTGGGCGAGAATGCACCTGTTTTGATCTTATTGGGCCGGCCCCCCCTATCTCCATCAGGATACATATTGCCCCCAGATCGATCCCACACACCTCCCGATGGATCCCTTCTGTTCCCACTCTGGCGCGATTGCTGTTGCTGTTGAGGCACAAACTGTCCGTTTGTTCGATTCCCAGACTTCTCCCCACCACTGCCTATTCTGTCGCTTTGTTGTGATGGCAATCCCGGTTGTAACTGTTGCTGCTGCCCTTGTTGCAATTGAGGTTGGTGCTGTGCATACGATGATAGACTGGGAGATGCTGCATCGACATACACAGATGGACCAGCCGCCCCTCCTCCTTCGCTGAGCACCTGCATCAACTGAGGTGTGAACTGTTCATGGAACTCCGATGGGTTGACTTGCAAAGCCGATTCAGTGACGGCCTCAAACTGTTCTTGTTGCTGTGGAGATAACTCCCCAACTACATCTGTAAGTAGGTTCCGGAGTTTTGTGTTCACTTCACACTGCAGCAGAAAGTCAGTGTTCACTTGGTACGACAGGTCGTGGTACCTAGAATACAGCTGCTTCAGCATACCTTCCTCCTTTCGCAGATAAACCACCTCGTCAACAAGCGTATCACCTTTCGACTTGATCTTATCATATTCCCGCGAGAGGTGCTCCAGATCCGGGCGTATGGGTGTGTAGAAGGGTTTTGTGGTTATTGTATCATCTGGTTTTTGTACCCTTATGGGGATCGGCGCTTCCGGGATAGCGTCCCCTTTTTGTGGGCCCATGTCATTGACATCCGCAAATTGTTGGTTCATAACCGGTTGACCCCCGCCTCTGATTGATTCGTTTATCTGTGTGTGTGTACCAGAGTTTTAGGCTCCTCCGTTCTCAGACTGGCTGAGCCACAATACTATCGATTAATCTAAGTATATACGGGAGTAAACGATTCTTCTCGAAGTATAAACTCCTGTATAATATATAATATGTAAGGATGAAGCCTCAACCCACAACTTCACTATATGAATAGGTTCGAATATTTTACAAAGTCTCCTTCAGTGCCCTCGCTACACTTGTATTGCTATCTGTCCTGATTGTAACCTGCACGCATCATTGACATTCATGTCCTTCAAGCTGTATCATTTATATTATGCCGATATATTATAGACGCATATGAATGAACGTAAACACGGTATGCAAATTAACCAAGTAATGCAAGACTTCCAATGTGTACTGTGTGGACGTACAAATATCGATTTTAGTTTTAATTATGAGATTGAGCCTGTGGTTGTATTGACAGTTTTTACACTTTGCCGCTGTTTGCATTGTAACAACCGCCAGAACTATTTTAAGCTTAAACGTTGTACGTTAAAAGCCGCTATTTTTTTGAAAGAATAACGGTTTTCGTTCCAACATAAACATCTCAATGTAAAGCCAGCAGCTGATCTCGATAAAAATTTTAAAACAACAGCCAGGCCTCAGGACAGGGCGCAGGTGCCAGCTTCCAGTGACCGAGGAAAAAAAACATGTTTACGTTCAACTTTTATTTTCCCTATGAAAATATATGACTTTGTTTTTAATAAAAACAAAAATAAATGTGAATGTAGTTGAGAGAGATTGTGAGAAGAGACCCAACTTTTAATTTTGACGTCTACTCTCTAGACTAGTAGTAGTAGCACCGAACCGATACCAATCTCTCTCGCGTTTCACACACCAGAGAAGAGCAAATGCGAAGAAAAAAGGTGCCTGGTTTGGAGTAACTATTAGGCCCTAATTTAGCCCCTCAAAAGGTAATGAATTTACCTTTGTCCGCGTACCCTTGATTGCTCACATGTGACACTTTGTTTCATTCGAAATACCTTATTATTATTTCCAGAAAATCCACTGTGGCCCCAACACACTTTGAAAGTTCGATCGCTACGTCAAAAACTGCGCAAGAAAAGAAGTATCGCTTATTTACTATTAGAGAACAAACACACTAACACATAAGTACGTGTGCTGTATTGAAGAATAGGCGCCTGCACAATATACTCGTGCATATATATTCTACATTCGTTTACAACCACCAAATTCGTTCGCTTAGACATTCAATATGCCGGCAGTAGAGAAGAAACCCATGTGGGGAGACTTGGAGGGCGACGATGACGAAGATTCAGGTTTGCCCCCTACAGAGACCAAGGGCCCAAATAAAGACGGGATTAAAACCGTAATAGAGTACAGATGGAATGATGACTTCCACCCACCTAAGAAGGAGAAGGTTACCAAAACCTACAGGGTTGAAGTGCAGAAGCGCAAACTGAACAAAGCCGAGCAGGAGCGAGCGGTATGTGATGTATTGACACAAACATATGTATATGTATATATATATATATAATATGTATATATATGTGTGTGTGTGTGTGTGTGTATATGTGTGTGTGTGTATATATGTATATGTATAATATATATATTTATTTTTATATATATGTATGTGTGTGTGTATGTATGTAC